TAGTTTATTATGTAAGAATTGTTTTGTGTGCTTTTTCTTGATATACAGAATTTCTGAAAGGTAGCTAATGTTAGCCTGTCTTGCTATCATCATTACTGTCTCTGTTTCACCAAAAGCAATGATTCAAACAGTCAGGGACTAACCTACAGGCAGTGGGTAGGTGTTACTGCTTATCTAACCTTTTACGTATCGTATAAGTCTGGGAAGCAGAACATGGCTAACTGCTAATGTTGCTTATGCTAGATCTATATAAATAGCATACACACAATACACTTGTAATTTCTCACTCTTAACAAATGCATGCACATTAGGGTGGCCAGATGTCTGGCTTTAGGGCGGACAGTCCGGATTTTTATTGCACTGTCCGGCGTCCGGCGCCGCATCCAGCCGGACGTTTATTTGTCCTCCTTTTTGAGGCACTAGGCTCGTAGAGCAGATTATTTTTAATTTTTTTTTGCTGGGCTGCAGCACAATATCCAATCATCAAAACTGCATCACTATCTGATTTAACAGATGATTGGCCAAGAGTGGCGGTGTGTCAGATAAAGATCTGCTTGTCATTGGTTACAAAAGTAAACAAGGATCAGAACTACTGATGCTAAGTATTAAAGTTAGCGTCCTCTCAAAACCAGGACGTCGTTTAACCCAGAATGGACAAAAGAGCGTGAATTTATGACCAAAGGTAGTGGAGATTCATTCCATGGGTTCTGCCACTTTGTCGATGCGATGTGGGCGTAAGCAGGCAAAGAAAAGCTGCAATTGAACGGCGTGCGAGTACGGATTAACGTAAAAGTAATAAACGTGCAGCAGCGAACTCTTCAATGTTGGTTTTTACATTACGTTTTTTATCGCCCCTGGATTAGGGGTGTGCAAAATAATCGTCATGACGATGCATCGCGATTCTACTTTTTGTGATCTACTGCATCGATTCTTGATGCCAAGTATCGATTCTTATTAACAAAAAGGAATAAATAAAATACATGAATGGTTGGCACACATCAGTCAAAAACAAGTGGAATACAACTTTCAGTCCAGTAGATGTCGCTGCGAATACTGCGACGAGTCATTCAAAAACAAAACATGGAGGAGACTGAGAAAATTCGCCCAGCTCCATCACATTCCAAGTCAGATGCTTGGATGCATTTTGGCTTTAAAAACAAAGAAGGTAAAAACGAAATTGATTTGACGCACGTCATTTGCAAAAGGGGAAATGTCAAACATTTCAATGTTTCCATTTCATTGGTTTAAAGGACCACTGAGGCCATGTAAACGGCACTGTTATTTTATGTTTTATAAATCCTAAGCACTTTTTGTCAGTGTGTCCACTCCAGTAATAGTAATATTTGTGTCCAGTATTTGTTTTCATGGCAACACCTCCAAAAGTCCTTTCAATAAATACAGCTATGTATGAATTCAGTTGCTTTCAGTTATGTATCAATTGAAGACACGATCCAGATCATACCCAGCCAGTCAGCCACTGGTAATAGCTGTATTTTTTTTCTTACAGTGTTCATTGAAAATATCACGATGAATC